GAAAAAGAAGCTTATTTGAATAATTTAGAAGTTAAAAGTAAATGAGCTCTGAGTTGGTGGACAGAGGGTGCTCTTTTAAGGAAGGGTGCTGCTTTTGTGCATGAATTCCTTGATTCATGACACACGATAGTTTGATTCATGATAGCTTGAGGCTTTTTTGCTTCCTTTTCCTCAGCTGTGTTCTTTAGAACTGAGGCTGACGGGGAGTTCCAGGTGAGCGAGGGGAGCCTGCTTGAAACCATACCTGAGCCTCAGTGAGGGTCACTGTGTCTTTCTGGCAGAATGAGAGGAAAATGAGCGCATTTCAGCGCACAGAGTACTGCTCATCTTTTTGCTTACATTTTAATTCATATCTAACCTGAAATTTTCTAAAACTTTAGGCACGATAGAGAATATCACAACACATCTTTTTGGCTGCTCTTTTGGGATGCCTTTTCTTAATTATCATTGTGTTTCTGGAGATACTCTGTTTTCATAAGAGATCTTTTATATTTGATAAGAGAGATTTTGCAGATTTCTCTACTGGTCTTAACTTTCTGTCGAAGCTCTAGAAATGGCATGAATCCTGCTTCCTCCCCCAAATCTGCCGGGGCTAGAGCAGCAGGAAGGGAACGAACGTTTCTGGTCCACACATTGTGTCCTGGGCACTCTGCTAGACGCTTCTGCCTAGGTCACCCCGTGCTGCTCTTGAGGCAGCCCTGGACAGGGATGAGAAAACACGGTAACGTGTCCAGGGTCATGTGGCTGGGGGGCAGCAGGGTCAGGTTCAAACCTGAATCTGTCTTTAACCCCCAGTCTCTACCCCCTGCAGTAATGAACCTTTATTGTGCCCTTCCGATGCCAGGCACTAGCCAGGCTCACCATGCACACTGTCTCTTATCCCCTCAACCGACTGTATGGAGCACGGGGACTTCTTAGTTCCATTTTCCAGATGAGGAAACTGGCATTTGGTATATTCGAGTCATTCACCCAAGATAACCCTGGTAGTGTGACGGAGTCAGTGTTCACACCCAGCCCAGCTCTATGCTTGCAGTTCTGCTGTGAACCCCCAGTGCACTGTTGCCGCCCCATGTAGCATATGCATAGACACACACACACACACACTCACTCACACACGTGTTAACAGTGGAAATTCTTAGTTTGAAAAGTATGCACTCTTGCCTCATTTTTAGAAGGTGAAGTTGGCATCTTTGGTGTGGGAGAACTTCTAGAGAAATGTGAATTGGATAAAGAATTTGGAGATGGGAGGAGGAGGTGGCTCTACGTGGTTACTGTCCTCCTGAAGCGCTTCATCTTAAAGAAGTAAAATGAAGTTTTGAGGCTCTCTTATTCCGACCCTTCTTTGAGAATATTTCCGTATTGTTTCCAGAAGTAGCAAGGATCTAGATCTAGTGAGTAAGACGTGCACCGGTGGGGCCGGGCCTGCCCGTGTGATGTATGTGCTCACAGGGGACACCCAAAGGGCCAACTGGGAAGGGAAACCAATAGCTGCAGATAGAAACCAGAAATTCCCCTCGAGAGATTTATTAATAGTTACAGGCCTGCCTCAGAATCCTCTCAACATTGCCAGAGTCTGCTTTCACTGATAACTCACTCTGAATAACCACAGGGGAGGAAACCGCAAGGATTCAGTACCCCTGCCTCGGAACGTATAGCCTGGGTCGGAGCACAGGGTCAAAGCCCCGCCTTCGCACTGGCCCCTTCCTCCAGGCACTGGGCTCCTCCCTGCTTCAGGGCTTGTGGCTGGTGGACTGACTGGTCTCCAGTGCGGGGACTAAGGACACACTCAGCTGCAGAAAGAAGACCCGGTGGCGGCCTTCCTAACCACACGTTGTCATTTCTCCTCTTTCTCAAATACTGGGTGGTGATCACTTACAAGGGGCTGGAGCCGGCTTTTGTAGGTCCTACTTGCAGTCTTTGAGGAGATTTAAACTTCCACGTTAACTTCTTATGCGTCTTGTTCTCTTCAGCATCCCGCTTTCTCGCAGAGCAAAATAGCCTGCGGTGGGCAGTGGTCTAGATGCAGCCCCCGCTCCAGGGTGCTGTTGACTAGTGACAGACAGATGGATGGTTGGAAGGAGGCAGGAGGCGAGAAAGTGAACGTCAGTTTAGCCCCAAGGTACGGTAGAGAGAACATCCGTTTAGGGCTCAACAGTGAATCCTGCCACCTATAGGTTGGGTGACCTTAGGCAGGGCTGTTTAATCTCACACGGCCCCCACTTTCTGTAGGTGGGCAGAATCCGGTGTGGGGGGGCTGTTGTGATCATGTGATGTTGTGCGTGTAGAGCGTGTGTCCCCAGGCCGGACACATCAGCGCTCAGCAGACCGTGTTTTTCTTTCTTCTTCCTCACCAACTTCTTGCAGACAAGGCCACCTCAGAGTCACAAAGAAAGTCATGAGCCTGTGACCCACAGGCACCCAGGGGTTTGGGGACTCTCTAGGGGTCACCATGCACCGGTCATGCAATGACTGGGGGCCTCAGTGTCCTCTAAAATGACAAGGTCCGACTAGCTCTGTCATGCTTGCTTCCTGCTCTAGAAGTCTGTGCCTCTCTTTACACACAGGACACTGTGCAGCGGGAGAGTTCACGCCCTGAAATAGCAGGATTCTGTCAGTTTGCCCCAAGGCCGGGCGGCAGGACAAGGCAGTTGGCACGAGGTGTGTGGTGTGCTGCTCTAGGGCACTCTGCAATTAAAATCTCCCTCTGTTTACCTTTTGCCAAACTTAGCTCTGATATTCTCTCCCCAGATTTTGTGTAATTACTGAAAACCTTTTAAAGGTCCTGCTCCTTACCAGCAACATTTGGGAGGGGGAGAAGGACCTTTTTATTCCAGCCCGTCTTTTTGGATTCCTCGACATTTCTGAACAAGGAAATGGTATCACTCGATACGCAGGGTGGGGGGGGTCTTCCCACATTGATCCTACAGACCTGCCCCGCCACCCCTCTCATGGCCTGGACAGCTGGGGCTGACCTTCCCCTCCTCCACCTCAGCCTCAGGACTCAGGACTGGGCTTGTTTCCTCTCCCCCCAGGGGGCAGCCTGGGGCAGGGGGCTGGGCTGCGGACCCCAGGCTGCAGCTGGTGAAGTGTCAGCATCAGGTAGCATCTTGTGTTTGAGCTTATGGAGAAGGAATCCCTCACCCCACCCTTGTCCTTTCTTGCATCTTTTGTCAAGGCCTAGACAATCCTAATGCCTCCGAGTTAGTGCTATTTATTTTCCAGAAGTAGATGCAGCCATGAAATCTCCAGCTACCCCTTCACTACTTGGGCTCTTCATAAGTGACTCTGCCCTTTTGAGTTCCTGGTTCCGTTTGGTTAGCGGGTAATTTTTGCCAAGACTAGAGTCTGCTCCAAGAGAACTTCATGGGTTACAGCAGGATGGTGGGCGTGGTCGGGAGGGGAGGGGTCTTATGCCGCCTCCAAACCCACTCTACAAATGGCCCGCGCGGTGACTCCTGGCGGAGGGAGCCCAAGCCTTGACATATGTAAGATGGGCCTCGCCGCGCTGCCTTTGAAGCCGGGGCAGTAATTGCCGGCTTTGATTGCACCGACTTCACTGGTGGGTTGGGCTGTGCTGGGGCTCGCCTGGCCTGGCCCAGCCACAGCCCCCCAGTGAAGCCTTAGATGTGGGAAGTCTCCAGTCTCCGGAGCCTCATGCCTGTGGTTTCTTGAAAAGAATCGTGATTTGACCTGTTTTATATCTATAAAGCCACTCTGTAAGGCCCCCATTTCTCCCATTTGGAGGTAAGGCTTGCTCTGCCCCGATGGTCCTGTATTTTAAAGGAGCAACCACATTCGTTCTGTCTTATTTGATAGCAAGACACATTCTCTGCCAGTTGATTCAGATACCAGTTATATGTATCAGGAGAGTGTCCTGAGTGGGAGCAGTTGCCTTTTGGTTTGCAGTTGTACGGAACATCTGTGAAAGCAGCTCTTCGGGAGCATTTGTAAAAGGACGCTGAAATCATGAAACAGCGGTGGGAAGATGTGAAGCAGTGGAATGAAATGGCTTTAGTAGGAGATGCTGTGATTTTTTTCCAGGGAGGCGCACGGTATCTGTGTGGTAAATGGCCACACCGGAGAGCCAAGTTTGTGACTCTGCTCAGCGTGAGAAGGGAGGAGGAGAAGGCCCTCTGGTGGGGAAGGGAAGGGAAGGATGGCTTGGTGAGCCAGGAGTTGCAGGTGCTGCCCCACGTGTCAGACCTGCTGGACTGCGCAGTGGGGTGGGGGGGGCTGCTCAGTCTTCAGCTCATGATTTCAGAATGAGCCCACCACGGGGGGGTGGGGACAGATCCCAGTGCAGGACCGCAGGGCCAGTCCTCATCAGGGGCAGCAGCCTAGACCAAACCTTTGGAAATGTGTGCTGCAGACATTCAGTGTAAATAGGAATGTGCGGGGTGCCTTCCCCACCAGTGCAGACTTTGCTCCCTTGTTCTTGGAAAGCCACGGCCCTGCCTAGCTCTTATCTGTCCCCTGCTGCAGTGTTAAAAACCACAGTGCCGTGGCATGCGTGTCCCTGTTAAACAGGGACAGGTTAGCTTCACAGGAGGATGGGAAGTGACGTGGGCATGGCAGACCTCTCGGTCCATAGCATTTTGTGCTGGTCTCCTCCCCTTTCATTTTTGCTTTGTCAGTAGCTGCCTGCGTACGTAGATGGTTTCTTCAGAGTTGCCATCATCCATCTTGAGGGATGGCGGTGACAGTAGGGGCATTAATGATAAGAACGGCTGCCAGGTCGCCATAGTGATGACGGCCCTGACGGTGCTGGGTGCGCACTCCGCGTCCCTGTGCGCACATATACATGTACATGGCACCAAAGCAGACGTTCTCCAACGTGGTCCGAGGATTTGGGGCTCCCGTAGGGGTGTCGTTCTGGCCATCACCAGATCACCCAAGCAGGCTCCTAAATGCAGAGATCTCAAGACTCGTGCTGTGTGCAATAGAAGGGAAAGGCCTGTGACGAATGCACATTAACAGCATTTCATTTGTTCCCTCTTGAGGTGGAAAACGAAGCTCATTCCCAACGTGCAAAGCCAAGGCGGCCACCCCGGGACCTCTTCTGGAGATGGAAGCTTGTTGAAAACCCAGACTGTCTCCAGGGCTTGCCCAGTGGACCCCAATGGAGAACTGCCGCCACCTTCACCCTGAGGTCACCGCTAGAGACGCTGATCCATAAAGACAATCACTGCCAAACCCCCTTTCATCTACTGCAAGAGCCAAGTTCCAAATCAAGCATAAGAGGTTTCCCAGCCGAGCAGACAGAGCACCTGAGAAAGCTCACAGGCTGAGCAGCTGCCCCTCCTCCGCGTGCACTTCCCAGAGCGCCCTGCGTCCGCGCCTGCAACCTTTGGCAAGGACAGTAACTTGGCCATGTCTGCCTGCCGGGAGCACCCCGAGCCTGCAGCCGGCACGTCCTCACGGCCCTGGCGGGGACCTCCGTGGAAGACGTCCCTCTCTGTTGCGGTCTTCATCTTTTTTTTTCTTTCTCCTGAAGCTTTTATTTAACAGTGCAAAAGGATCAATCTCGTGTTTGCTTTTCTTTTTTTTTAAACTTGAATTTTTTTTTAATTTACACTTTTTAGTTTAAACTTTCTTGTTGTATATTTTGCTAGCTATGAGCTTTTAAGAGAAACTCAAAGATCTGGAAAAGTTTGAAATAAAAAGGAAATGAAAAGAAGCCGCCCTTTTTTGAGCGGCGTCTAGTCCGGCAAGTGGCTTCTCTGTGAATTACTTGTAACAAATAGTGGCCTCCTGTCTTCGTAAGGTGTTTGATAGTTAAATAAATGTAACAGCTGAAACCACACTGCGGGTAGCAGTTGGCAGTCCTATTCATTTTATTTTTCTTCTGATCTCCTTTGTTTAAATGGTAAACCTTAACACACTGTCAGCAGGCCGGTTTGCAGTGAATTTTCCTTTCTTTTCACCCCCTTGTTGTAAAAAGCCCAGCACTTGAATTGTTATTACTTTCAATGTTCTGTATTTGTATCTGTTTTTATTAGCCAATTAGTGGGATTTTATGCCAGTTGTTAAAATGAGCATTGATGTACCCATTTGTTTTTTAAATAACAAGGCACAGCCTTTGCCCCGAACTGCCATCTAACGTTTGTCATTCCAGTTTGAGTTAACGTGCTGAGCATTTTTTAAAAGAAGCTTTGTAATAAAACATTTTAAAACAACGTGTCCTTTTTAAAAAAAAAAAAAAAAAAAGCGAAGTCCCTGGTAACCGGAGCTGGTGACGGTGAACTGTATCCACGGGCCAGGCCCGCGCTGGCCTCTCCACGTCAGAGGGGCGCCTTCTGCTGTCTCCCAAGTTGTGCAGTCCTCCCCTCCCAGGTGTAGACGTAAACCGGGGCCAGTGGGGGGAAGACTGTCCTCGGGGTTCAGATGGGAGTGACCCTCTTCCTCCCTGAGCACCTGGCACCGCCTCCTGGGCCCCGGGCCGGGCCGTCAGCAGGCGTGAGGTCATCGCCCATCACCGGAGCTCAGCAGTCCTCAAACTGGGCTGCCCAAGTCGAGGTGTCCCTGTGCCCCGCTCAGCTCCCGGAGGTCAACATAGTCCCAGTTTTCAGTTTGCATTCCAGAATCTTCCCTTAAGCTTTCATTAGGCTGGTATAGAAGTTGGGATCTGCTTTAACAAAAGCTCTACGTCTTCAGTTTAAAAATCAGCATTTCGTGGCTCTGCATCCCTGGAACCAGTTTGAGAGCCATGGATCCCACCCACCGGCCTAACTGAAATCCCTCGCTGGGGCTGTAGCCGGTCTCCGTTCCCCACCCCCAGCACAGCTGGGGAACAGCTGGCCCCACACTCACCCTCACCCTGCACGGGCTGCCATGAAGTCGCGGGGCCGTTTCTCTTCTCCCGCGAAGCGATCCGACTGCTTCCACCTTTCATCATCGGCCCTTTAATCATCTTCTTTACTGTCTTCTGGAGCCTCTCCAGCTCCTCGTCAGTCCCAGACGCGAACCAACCAGGGGAAAACTCTATTCTGTTCAGGAGACGTACTCGTTAGGATGGTTTCACACTCATTTGAAAACCTTCTGAGTTTTCTTAATGTTCAGGAACCAAACGCCCTAAAGCTGCCATTCATGCTCTTGTCAGGAGTTCACTAGGAAATCCAAACATACACGGTGCAGGAGGGGGTAGTGAAGTGGGGGCGGGGGGACCGATGCCAACAGTGATTGGCTTCCCTGGATCTTCGAAGGACAGGAGTCACAGTCTGCTCACCAGGTGCGGGCAAGGATCCGGGGCTGGGAATGGGACCCTGCCGAAGCCCCTCGGGCCCTCTCTCCGGTGGTTCCTCTGCGTTTTTATGACAGAAAAGATGAGCGAACGATGATGAAGAAATGGAGTGTGTGGGTCCTCCCAACCTGCTGTTCCTTCCACCAACTTGGTTCCCTCCTAGGTTTCTATGTTCCTTCCAGAATAGCCCGTTTCTCCCAGATAGCATGGCTGCCCCAGGCCCGTGCTCGCTCCCGGCCCACTCGGCCAAGCCCTGCTTGCTGCGGGCAGCACGTGGGCGGGGAGAGTCGGGAGCCTCCGAGGGGTGCGGCCCCAGGGAAGCCATCGGGGGGCATCTGTGGGCAGAGGGACGTGCCTTCGGCTCTTTCTCTGTTGGATCCGGGAGTGATTTGGCTCCGTTCCCTGCAAGCTCAGAGCCGATCTGTGTGCCCAGAGGAGGATGGCATCCTGGTCCTTACGGGGGGGTGTTTTCCTTCTAGTTTTAGCTGGTCTGGCTGCTAAGGTTGCTGGCAAGGACCTGTCGAGCTGTTCGAAGGGGCCTTTGAACTGTTCCATGGCTACAGCTGTAGGAGCACAGTAATTTTTTCCTCCAGCGTTTGGTCCAAGGCAGCAACAACATGGAAACCTCTAATCAAGGGCCTGTGAGCAATAACAAGATGTCTGTGTGACTTTCCTTCTAAAAGAGAAAAATCCTGAGGGGCTAATGCATGGTTCTGACAGAAAAGAGAAACTTAAATGTTCCACACGACATAGTAGTTGTTCTACAAATTACATTTACGACTTCTGCCACAGGGGATTATGTTTCATACACAGAAACCCGGGGAATGTCAAGAGCTGCCTTGTGTGAAACCTAACTTCTAAGTTCTCATAAAGGGTTAACATCCAAACTATATAGAGAACTCCCACGACTCTGTAGGAAAAAAACCCAAAAACTCTAATAAATAGGCAGAGGATCTGAACAGGCATTTTCCAGAGAGGGCGTACAGATGGCCAAACGGGTCCGTGAAAAGGTGCCCCGCGTCACTACTCATCAGAGAGATGCAAATACACCGCAATGAAAGATCACCTCACACCTGTTAGAATGTCCTCAAAAAGGTAAGAAATAGAGTTGGTAAGGATGTGGAGCCCTTTAGGCACTGTTGGTGGGAATGTGAATTGGTGCAGCCAATCACCATATCCAGCGATTCCATTTCTGGGTATTTATCCAAAGACGACAAAAACACTAATTCAAAAAAACCACATGCACCCCATACTCAATGCAGCACTATTAACACTAACCAAGATATGAAAGCAACCGATGTATCCATCAATGGATAAATGTATAAAGAACATATAGTATAATATACACAATGGAATACTATTAAGCTATAAGCAAAAATGAAATCCTGGCATTTGCAACAGCTTGGATAGAACTTGAAGGCATTGTGCTAACCGAAGTCAGACCCAGACAAATACTGCATGGCCTCATTTACATGTGGAATCTAAAACAAAGCAAAAAGAGCTCATTGATACAGAGACAGAGTGGTGGCTGCCTGAGGGCGGGGGGAGGAGGTGGTGGTGGCAAGAAATGAATGAAGAAGGTCAAAAGATACAAACTTCCAGTTAGAATATAAGTCCCAGAGTGTAACATATAGTATGGCGACTACAGTTAATAATACTGTATTGCATATTTGAAAGTTGCTAAGAGAACCAGAAAAAATCTTGTGACTGTAGTGATGTGAATATGCTTATGTGATCATTCCACAGTATATGCAAATATCGAATCCTACTGTACACACGCGAATAATTTATGTTCATTATACCGCAAAACAAAAAACAACCCACCTAACTTCTAGGCATACATACATACAACCAAAATCTGAACTGCTTTTTAGTAGAAACTGAATAGTTTGACCGCAATTAAGCATTTTAATACTAACAGAAAGATGTGATTCTAAATGTATTATGGACAAAAATAAAATCATTGGTGTGGGCCTTCACTTAGCAGATACCATTTTGCTTTATTTTTAAAATTTTCTTTTTTTATAAACTATTTGTAAAAAAAATAAATAAATAAATAAATAAATAAAAAATTTTCTTTTTTTAATATTATCGCTAGTATGTCCTTTTATTTATTTTTTAATTTTTTAAAATGTTTTTTAATTTATTTCTAGGAGAGAGAGAGAGACAGCGTGAGCAGGGGAGGGTCACAGAGAGAGGGAGTCACAGAATCAGAAACAGGCTCCAGGCTCAGAGCTGGCAGTCAGCACAGAGCCCGACGCGGGGCTCGAACCCACGAACCGCAAGATCATGACCTAAGCGAAAGTCGGACGCTTAACCGACTAAGCCACCCAGGCGCCCCGTTAACTTTGAGGGAGAGAGAATCCCAAGCAGGCTCCACATTGTCAGCTTAGAGCCGGACATGGGGCTGGAACTCATAAACCATGGAGATCATGACCTAAGCCAAAATCTAGAGTGGGACACTCAACCAGCTGAGCCCCCCAAACACCCCAACAGATACCATTTTGGAAGCTGCTGTTCTAACTTTCCGCAGCCCTCCACTGGGCAAACCTCCATGACCTCGCTCTGCAACTAGGAGTCGTTGAGACGGGGAACAGAAGGAAGGGTGCACTAAGAGCAGCTACTTGAGATAAACATTGCTGGCGTGAATCAATCCAAGTGAAAGCTTTGCACCTGTTAGGCAATCTAGAATTTATAGTTTTTAGTAAAACTTAAGTGAAAACTGGCTGTTACTTGCCCTTACTGAAGAAGTAATGCTAATGTTGTTTGCTGTCAGCAGGCCTATGGGCAGCAGTCACCTGGTATTAAAAAGGCAAGACAGGGGCACCTGGGGGCTCAGTCGGTTAAGTGTCTGACTTTGGCTAAGGTAACGATCTCACGGTTCATAGGTTCGAGCCCCGCATCGAGCTCTGCGCTGACAGTGCCGAGCTTGCATGGGATGCTCTGCCCCTTCCCCACTTGTGTTTGCTCTCTCTCAAAATAAATAAACTTAAAAAAAAAGAGACATGATGGATGTGCTCACTGAATATATTCTTCCTGAGCACCTGCCTATGGGCTATAACCTAGAAAAATGGCTTAACGCTTTGTAAGACTGACCTCCACCTGTGTGTGTTCTCCTGTATAAGCATAAGCGTCCTCTCCAGGAAGGGTAACTTAGGCTTCAGTTATTTTTTCCTTTGTTCCCAGGTGTGGACACAAATTGATATATGTGACAACTTATCTCCACCTCTGGTTCACTCAACCTTCTTCCAGGGGTAAACAAAGGCAGGGAAATGGAGGATATATTGACCCTCAGCGGCTCCCTCAGGCATAATACGTAGGTGGCATCTCAGACGTTGCCCCGAGGAGTGTTTTAATCAGGAAAGGCCCTTCTGGAAACTGCCAGACCGAGTGTTCTTGCAGCTGTATGAGGTCAGATGTGACTGTACCCATGGCAAGAAGACGGGTCTTACATTAGAAAGGAGGGGGCCCAGTGGGGAAAGCCCGGGTTTGGAGTCACGCAGAGGGGAACATGGTCCACCTCCACCACTGTCAGGTGCTGTGCACCCAGGCCCTCGGAGCAC